CAAACTGCAGATTGAATTTGTTCTTGAGAGTGTGCTTAGAATGGGGAATAGGTAATGGACTTAAACATTTTTTATTCATTTGTTTTGTTTATATTTTTACAATTAAAATGCATTACTCCCTTTAGTTTCTTGAGATTGCTGTCAGCTTACCTTTGGCAATTACTACTAGCCAACAGACTCCTTTAATAGGCAAAATAAAATGAGTGATAATCATTTCAAATAAATAAATAAAAAATGCATTACTCTTCTAAAATTATGGAATACCAAAAATTGGAGAAAAGACAAAACTAGTACCATACGTAGTTTCTGTCCTTTACTTAGGTGGATATTTATTGAATAGGAACTCAATGAATTCATAATATATTTCCTTACAAAATAATAATGATAAAAATAATATACCTCACATTTAAATTCTCCTTTATAATTTGTAAAATCTTTTTATATGCATTATGTCATTTGGATTTTGCCCACAAACTCTAAGTTGGGCAGAGAAGAGCATCTTACAAATTAGGATTTTGAGATTTTCAAAGATTAAATCATTTTCCCAAGGTCACATGTAAGTGGCATTGAGACAATACTCTTGTTACTTGACTTTTTATTCTTTTACCAGAGATTTTTCAAGTCCTCTCTGTTTGCCATGTCCCCTGTTCTCTCCCTATAGCACATACACTGCAGCTTGCAAATAAAGATAGGAAAACATAGAAGCGTCACCTAAGTCAATGCCTGAAAATGACACTAACAATTCCTAACCAATAGATCACACTGAGATCCAAATGTTACTTTGTTTACTTTCACCATGTGCTTTTTAAATATTCCACAAGCTATGGCAGACTATTTGCTAACGCCAAGTTACAGCTTGCTTTTCTGAAAGATGGACTTACTGGTTTCAGCTTCAGCTTCTCATTTATATCATTTACTTAAAGAGGAAGACATTATGTGGTTTTTAGTTCATCTTCCACCTTAAGAAATAATCAAATGCCCACACAATCCTCTGTTTCTCTCTTCCATAGCAGACCATTTTTCCTTCATTTTTGTCCAGAGGGAGAGGAAAGGATTAGGCTTAAAGGACGGCCAGTCCGCGAGACAGGAGAAATTTATAAACATCCCTGAAGAAAAATCCTTTTGCCATAATGCCTCAATTAACTTAATTTTTGTGGTCTGGCCTTGTAAACAGAAACCTGAGACCGTGGATGTGCTCAGAATGAAACACTAAGAAACTGCAAGCAAGTGAATGCTGGTGTTGGCTGGGTAGACACACCCCATGGGGACCTGGAGGACGAGCTCTGTCTGCAGTTCTCCGTGGATGAAAGGCAGTGCAGGCTGGTATGATTCCCAGGACTCCTGCTGCAGAGAGATGGGTGGGGAGAAGATGAAGTTTTCAAAGCCACAGAGTAGAGGAGAAATGGGTCCTAAGGACTGGTATTTGTTTGTACATTCATTCTTTCATTCTCTTCATATTTTTTAAGAATAGGTACAACCTGCGATGCAGATATAAAGATGATAAACATATAATGTTCTTGCTTCCTGGAGTAATATTCTAGGGTGAAGCTGAGGCAAAAAACCAATTTAAAAAAATTAATTACAGATCACAATAAATGTTAAACATAAAATAAACCCAGTGCTATGTTAATTAACAACAGTGGGGTGAAGGTAGGGCCATACATAGATAGGGTGGTCAGGAAAAATCATGAAGGCAAAAATGATAAGCCTCTGCCTGGTGTAATTCCCATCACTATTGCAAAGTGAATACAGTCTGTCTCCTCCTCTGCCAAATCATAATACTGGTCTCTCCTAAGACTGGGAGTAAGATGCCTAAAACAGTTGTTCCTCCAAAGCCATGCAATTAACTACTGTGACGTGTTAGCTAATTTTGTGAAGTGGCATTGCCATGAAATGTTCTTTCCTGATGAGGAAAAGCAGTTTCCTCCTTCTTTCCCTTAACTTCTCTCACTTCTAAGCTATTGCCACTTCATTTACAGAGCATCTGTGGAGTGTCTTCATCTTCATTCATCTATAGAGCAGAAAGATGAGTTCTCTTGGTGGTGACCACTGCATTTGTAGGGATTAGGAGAAGCAGCAGGAGGCTGCTCACTCTGTGATGTTGTCTAGCAGCTTTGTGCTCAGGGAGAAAATATGGGCTTAAATGACAATGGGATGGATTCAAGTTATGAACAAAGGAAGCCTTCATGGCTGCAAAGAATCACCAGGACACATGACTCTTGGCAACCTAGAGTTCCATTCCTAAATAGTTAGGCGGTGAACTCTCTAGAATTGTTTTGGTGCAATCCTAAATTTAGGGCAAGAAACAATCTCCAACAGACTTCTGTCCCTTCAGGTCCTATGAAGCTATCACACGGAATGTGGTTTTTCTTTTCTCCTTTATTAATATATTATTTTGTTCAAAAGCTTTCCATTAGATACAACCAGCAATGCAAAAAAAAAAAAAAAAAACAGCATCAATTTGGAATTTCTTCTGATAGTCTTTTTTTGGACAAACTATTTAATTGCATGAGCTTTTCCAGATGTGAGGCTCACTCTATGGGAAATAACAAAGAATTTGTGAATTAAGTAAATTATCCTGCCGTTATGCTATTTTTTTCTGTGTGGTTATATATTATAAATAGAATGTTGATGTTAATCATTTCAGTTGCTAGAAAATGCATTCTTAGAATTGTTTTGCTTGATAAAAATAATTTTTTTAAGGAAAGAAGAAAAGCAGCTGTTTTACATTTATAACAAGATTGGGGTTAAATATTTAAAATCTCTGTACTGAATCAACCTGATTTCTTCAAAAGTTCTGTTTCAGACACAATTCACCTATTTACTCCTGACTTGCTTGACCTTTTTTGCTTGATTCGATGCTAATACTATTATATCCAGATTTGAAATACTGACATTTTCCTGACCTAAGTGATGTTAAACCTTACAGTCTGTTCCGATGAAATGAGTGTTTGGATCTCTTTCTGTGTGAATTATCCATACAGCTGCTCTAAGCTGCTCCTTCCTACTACTGAGGCTTCTCTTCTCCTTTACTGAGGGCATCTGTTTCCCTCAGAATTAGTCTAGAAGGCTTTACACTATCATAGGAGTCAAGAGCCTCTCCAGCAAGTCCTCTTGTATGAGAACACCCACTCTTGGGACAAAGTCTTAGACTCCTATCTCACAGGGAGAGGGTGAATTTATTCTTTGTCATTACTGAGAAACATCAACAGATGGTCAGCCTGGAGCTGATGCTTCTTGACCTCCTTCCTTCACACTGGATTATGAGAAGTACTGGAGAGTTGAAAAAAACATTTGGTTTGCATATATTCCACCACTGTAGTGAAACACTATATAGCCAGGGCTGTGATCACCCCCGTTCTGAAAATTTACATTTCTCTGGCATAGGGAGCCAAGTCCTGGCAGAAATCAGGAAGCAGGCCTGAAAGGCATCAGCATAAGGACTACAGGTATAAAATACGCTCATCCTCTTTTACATTTTTTCTAATGTGTTTGCCTGGAAAGCTATTTTTGGATATTATGCTCATGTCCACTGACATAAAGAAAGAAAAATGAAGGAAGAAGTGGTGTCCTTGGTAAAAATGGTTAAAATAAATACAAGTTTGGTGTCTAGATAAGATGTCTACAACCTAAAGAATTTAAGATTTAGGTAGTACTGTTGTATTGGGGCATCCAGTACAGATAGAAAAGATATTCATGTACCTCTAGTCAAATATTTCTGTAAAGTTTCCCGAGTTTTCCAGCCCAGTGAAGATAAACATGTTGACATGTAGGTTAGTTCAGGAAAAATAAAATATTTATGAGCCATGTGATTTTACATTTAAAATAAAAACTTTATTCAATTCTGTAAAAAATGAATATTCTTATAATTTAGATTACTAACTCAAGAATCTGAGAACTTGAATGAGAACTCAGGCATTGCTCCTTACATATTATATAATATTAACATTTGGGTAGGTTTAAAAAGAAACAGTGTAAGGCAGCTTCCTCATTCTTTCTCCTTATGGCTGGAAGAAGTGCACACAGCTAAAGGGGTACGGGTTGCTCATTGCTGTACAGGTCTTTTCTCTTGCTTTTTTTTGGTTTACTCCTTTCCTCTCCTTCTAAGGAGAACTTGTAGTCAAACTATTTACTTCACCTCCCCAGGGCTCAGTCTCCTCCTCAAAAAAGCCTCAAATCTATTCTATCTATAACATTCATGTCTTTCAAAAAGGCTTAAAAGGAAAATCGAAGTCATAACGGCTACCATCATTAGGATGAGCTGCCTCAAATTAACGTTTACTCTGTGCTTTTTTGGACCCAAACAGGGCCCACCTGAAGAGGCTAGGGGGGAAAGTCAGAGAAGAGAGGCTGCCAAAGACATGCCCAAAGTCAGAGCTTGGATTCTGGTGGCAACCTAATCTTTCCAAGACTCATCAGACTGCCTGGAAGGCAAGCCCACTCCCATTCTCCTTCTCCTGCCTGCCCTCCTCTGATCCCAAACCACAACTTGCCTTGATTATGGTTTTAAGATCATTAAGAAAAAAATATTTTAAATATTCAGCTATTTATAGAGACTTAGCTCTGCACACCCATAAATGCAGTAACCTCAATTATTTATATCTTGAGAAGGCGGATAATGACCAGTGATATATGTAAGTGAGGTGGGAGGAGATAAAGAAAGATCTTTTAATTTTGGAAATGAAGAGAGACCGTTCCAAAAGAGAAAGTACAGTTGATCCTTGAACAGTGTGGAGGTTAGGGGCGCCAACCCCATGCACAGTCAAAAATCCCTGTATAACTTTAGACTTCCTAAAATGTTTAACTACTGATAACCTACTATTTACTGGAAACCTTATCAGTAACATAAACAGTCCATTAACCCATATTTTGTATGGTATATGTATTATGTACCATTTTCTTATAATAAGCTAGAGAAAAGAAAATGTTATTAAGAAAATTGTAAGGAAGAGAAAATACACTTATATACTGTACGGTATTTATTAACAAAAAAATCTCCATATAAGTGGACCCACAAAGTTCAAACCTGTGTTGTTCAAGAATCAACTATCGAAGGACATGGTGATTTGGGATTATGGATAAAGTTGTATTTTAGGAAAGGACTCATTTATAGTGAGAAACTCAAATTGATTGTTTAAGATGATTGTAAAAGGGATGATTACAATCCGATACTTATATTTACATGTATTTGGCCAGCATCCATTGGGATATTACCATGTGTTCATTTTTTTTGCTAGATTCATGAACATTAATGACAAAATCTCTGCTCTCAAGGAACCCGGAGTAATGGAGGAGACAGATGAGCAAACAAAGTGACAAGGTAGCGTGAAGGGCTGGCACAGAATACTATGGGAGTTGAAGGTTGGTACCCAGATCTGGCCAAGTCTAAAAACATGAGGAATTCTACCAGAAAAGTGGAGAAGGCATTCCAGAACAGCAAGTGCCAAGAAGAAGGTTGGGGATGGGTGTTCAAGAAGGCATTCAGGATACTGCCGGCACTTCCAAGATTCTGAAACCTATGATACCTATGAAGAAATGAAGGGATATGCACTTAGAGGGGTAGGTGAGGTCTTGGTTACAGAGGCCTATGCCAGGGTAACAAATTGGGCTTTTTTTGTTAGGGTTTGTGTTTTACAATTAGATATTTCTTAAGACGGTCATACTGACTCAGATGGTGCTGGATTTATTGAATAACTTGACTTTTTGGGATAAACCTACCATAAGGAGCAGCAGTTCAGGGGGTTGGAACTATACTGAGAAATAGGTAAGGGAAGTGCCCAAGAGCCTAACATTAACACCCCCATGCCTGTACATCTGTAACCTCAAACATGTGGACAAATAAGATGATTTTAAATAAAAATCAGTCAATCAAAGGAAATGCTCCTCTCTGCACTGGGGCTGCATACTCATGCTTTGCCATTGGTTATCCTCTAGGGATCAGTCACTGAAGCATGGTTCCTATGCTCTTATGCCATTAAAATAGAAAAATATTTCTTCCTTTCCTTTCATTGTAACTATGGACAGATCAGGTGGCCTTATTATATTCACATATGGTCATAACTCATAGAAATCCACCCAGTGGGGATTTCTGTGGAACTGAGGTTCAAGCCCTTGCTCCAACATGAATTGGAGAAACAATAAGAGTCAACATGGTTTGTGCCTGCCCTGTTGGCAGAACCATTCTCAAATGGCTTTTCACATGCTCTACTCCTCCTGCCTCTGCTTGTTGGCAAGTTCCAAAATGCCTCGAATGAATCAGCTGACTTTCCCTATAGCTTTCAGCATGGGCTGGGCAATTCCTTTGAAAAGCCTTGGCCTGACTTTGTTTACATATCACTTTGATAAGGTATTAGGTGAAATCTTGGGCCCTGCTCGGTCAGAATAAACGTGTTATGAAGTCAATCGCTAGAGAAGAAAAGTATTTTGATGTTGTTGTTTGAAGTATTACTTCTTCAATTAATGAAGGGAAGGCCTACATCACCCCCTTACTTTTCTTTTCAGCTCTGGTTATCTGAAAAGGTATTTAGGGAAATGACATTTAACAAAACTTTCCAAAATTGCTTACCCACTGTCACTGGCCTTGGTTGCGAAGAGAGTCCCTAAATGGATCATTTGGTGACAGCAACCATAGATAGAATTGGGGTAAATGACTCTTTGCCCTACAAGCAATAGGTAGCCTTTGCAATGACCAAAACTGATGAGTCACCAGAAAGCTTTTTTTTTTTTTAAATTTTCATTTGACTTGTCATCATTTACTCATACCATATTGCTCTTGAAGTAGTGAAAACACATGCAAAGGTAGACATTTTTGAACATGGTAAAACCATGAATTGGATTAGGCTATAGGCTGAGCCCCATTGTTAACTGTAAAGCAAACCATTAGGGTGCTAAATTTCTATATTAGTGGTTCTCAGAGTGTTGTTCACAGATCCCTGGATGTCCCAAGATTCTTCTGCATGGCTCACGGAGCCAAAACGCTTTTCATAATAATACTTAACACATTACTTGCCTTTTGGTCTCTGTTGACATTTTCACTGAATGTACAAAAGCAGTGATGGGTAAAACTGCTGGTGCCTAAGCAAAAATCAAGGCAGAGCACCAAAACACGCTAGCAGCTATTGTATTCTTCACCACCACATACTTGCCGTAAAAAAATGATTCTGCTTTCACATAAAGTTGTCTTAATGAAGTAGGAAGAAATGATTAATCTTATTCAGTCTTGACTGTTGAGTACTTTGGTTTGTGTGTTTTCTATGCTATGTGACAAAATGGGAAGTAATGGATAATGTGCTTCTGCTGCAAATTGAAGTGTGGTGGTTGTCTAAAAAAGAAAGTGTGCACTTCTTTGAGTTCAAACTAAACTAGATATGCTTTTAATAGAACACTCTTTTCATTGAAAAATGACAAGTTATAGTTATTCAGGCTTGGGTATTTGGGAGACATTTTCTCAAAATTAACAAAGTGAGCCTGTCACTTCAAAGAACACAACGGTGGAATTTGTTCTTAATAATAGAATTTAAGCTTTCTAGTAAAAGTAGATTTTTGAAATCTTGTGTCTGTTACCAGGAGCTTGACAGCTTCCCAGTATTAAAAATATTTTCTGATAAGGTTAGTGGTGATATAATGAATGCGAGTTTTTGATATGGTGTCATTATATCATTATATGATATGTATATAATATGTTTATGTATAATATATACAGATTATGTTAGATGTGTAAAAATTTGGAAGACCTGCACAGCTCAGTGAACTGATATTTTCCATATGACCAATGCATGATGTTAAACATGCAGGGGTAAAAGCTCCATTCAAAGTGCCAAGAGGTGACAGAATTTTAATGTAACAGCACATGGAAGATTCATTGATATGGTTTCATATTCCATATTGCAGCTAATCTTTAAGAAACTATTTCTTGTTGGGGCACCTGGGTGGCTCAGTTGGTTAAGCGATGGCCTTTGGCTCAGGTCATGATCCCAGGGTCCTGGAATCAAGCCCTGCATCGGGCTCCCCGCTCAGCAGGGAGCCTGCTTCTCCATCTCCCTCTGCTTGTGCTCTATCAGATAAATAAATAAAATATTAAAAAAAGAAACTTTTCCTTGTCAGGTTGTGATACTGTCGTGATTATCTGAAAAAGGCATTAAAACACTCCTAACTACATATCTGTATGAGGCAGGATTTCATTCGTTTCAACCAAAACAACATATTAGAACAGATTAAATGCAGATTAAATGTTATATAGATTAACGTCAGATTAAACTAAGAGAATCCAGCTG